CTTGTAGGCTTGGCTCTGTTCAGATGTTACTCCTTTGCTTTCAACTATGTTATATACATTCAGGCTGTCATTGTGTCTCCAGTGTATGGTTAAGTTTTCACTTTCAAGCTCATTCTCAGTGGAAGAGCAAGGCAAGACAACAGAGCCTCCGATAACACCCTCAATAGTGAGCTCAAGAGATGCTGAAAACAAGAAAGAACTTTAAAAACAGAAAAATGTATCTGCATGAATTTGCCTTTGACATTTACCTGTGAGGCTCACCTCTGTTTATCAGCAGCAGGAAAACACAGATGACGCAGTCACTGTAAAACAAATGAATAAATGTACCAACGCAACAAATCTAATAAATGTGTCTCATATGGCATTTACTTCTATTTCTATTGAATGTCCATTTGCAGTGCTTTAAGTCTTAAGTATATTTTTCAAATAATAAAGGGTCACTTAAATGTACTTAAAGAGGCACTTTTGTGACTTTTAAAAAGTGTACTGCGTGCTTTAAAGTAGTACACTTTTTTGACTAACATACTAAAGCTGTAAACTAAAGTTTACGAGTTAATATATTTTAAATGCACTAAATTGCAACTTCATTCAAAATGTAAAATTACAAATATATTTAAATACATGGCATACACGTTTCAATATAAATGACATTAAATCAAATTTTAGTTTAGCATAAATGCCTACCTACATGACCTACAAATACAAGAATCTGGACACTAGTTTTAATAAAAATGTATGTCTTTGCATTATGTAACATTTTCAAATAATGTGTTGTCAGTTTTAAAGAAATGTAGCACAAGCACAATTTTCAAGAAAAACATTTCACAAAATTAAGTTAGTTATGTTCAAAATTAAGTTAAAGTTGATCAATATTAAAGTTAGTTCCAAAAAAAAAAAAAAAAAGTTACTTGGTATAATCATTTTTATTATGTATCTAATGTAATTCAGAGATTTTTAAGATATTTTAGCTATAACCGATAGCTAGGTAATGAAAATGAATAACCGAACAAACGTCTAAGCAATCTCAATCCAACTGCATCCATGTACAGCTTTTGACTCCGAATTCATTCAAGCTTACCTGTTTTTCATAGTGCATCAGTGTAATTAATGTCTTAACATTAAATGAAAAATATGAGTTGCGGTCAAGGTCACGGAAGACAGAAGAGTGTTTCCGGAAGAGAAGTGACGTATAGGGACTAAGCATAACTAAAGCGAATACGGCCAAAAGTTCTCAGACTTACATTATATTGAAGATTCTTGAGTTTGAAAGAGATGTCACCTTTCATATATTCCTTGAAAATTCCTGGATTTGATGAATTGGTCATAGCCTTCCTAAAAATAACATCCTACACATCCTGCGTTTGTTGTTTCTCCAGAGCTGTGTCACCACTCTGTCTGTTTTTAATGTCACTGCTACCAAAAGGACATCCTCAGTAACATCCTTAAGGTAGCCTGAAAGAAAGAGTGAGAACTTAAAGCCAAATAAACGTTTAAAAAAAAAATAGAAACAATAAATTTCCTGAATTAGTAACAATTCTCTCTTTCTCTCACTGTCGTAGTGGGAGGATCCAGAACATTCTGGACTGACTGACATTTGCCATAGAAAAAAAAGATGCAAATTTTGCATGCCACATCATAAAAATGTAATTATATTAGGCTATAGTATACTTTAAGTTAGGAAACAACTGAATTGAGATCTTTGGTATGTAGAAAAATGAATTTACAATCCAGTCAGATCTCTACAATCCTATATCTTCTGATTTGATAGGAACAGGAAAGCATAGTGTCCGAATTCTCAAATGCTCTACTCAAAAGCTTTTGTTGATAAATGGTCTACCTGAAAAGACAGACATACTGTCTCATATGATATATACATATTTCACAAACTGATTTTAATGGTTTTAAAATCTGGTTCTTGAATGTTGTCAGTCCGGGTCTGTAGTTTGATTATTGAATACATAAAGACATTCAGGAAGCATTAAGTTTGTTGAGCTGTGTAAAAAATATGCACATGTGAAATACGCAAATGACTCACTAGCCGCTTTTCCCAAAATCATGCTGCGTTTCCACTGTCGTGCCAATGCTACTCTAAAAACCTGCCCTTACTTAAAATTAAATCTATTTGAATGCAAAATAATTTTGTTTAGATTTGTTAAACTTTTGCTTGCAATTAATGCAATTAAATGTGTGTTTAATCGACTTCAAAACAACATAATGATAATGAAAGTATTCTGTACACAGATTTAAAGTACAGTACATTACTATTACATACTGTACATATACAGTACCTCTCTCATAAATGACACTTTGTCAAATATTATGTAGAAAATTAAACTTGTAGTTGAGTTAGAGCCGGAGCTGGTGATAAAAATGTCAACAATACGTTTTATTGGAGTATACTGTATAAGAATGTATATTGAAGTTCATTCACCTAACTAAAAGTCATTTTTACAGTGCAGTGTAGCCTATAATAGAAACCAAATGTAGGCTATTTGAATGCAAATTAATTTTGTTTAGATTTGTTAAACTTTTGCTTGCAATTAATGCAATTAAATGTGTTTAAGTGACTTAGTTAGAACAACATAATGATATTGAAAGCATTCTTTACACAGATGTAAAGTACAGTACTGTTACATACAAATGCAGTACTCTCATAAATGACACTGTGTCAACTATTATGTTGAAAATTAAACTTCATAGAGTTCATAGTGCAGGAGCTGGTGATGAAAATTTCAGCAATAAGTTTTATTGGAGTATACTGTATAAGAAAGTGTATTGAAGTTTAGAAGAAAAATAAATTTCAAGTGCATTAATGCACACAGTATATAATATAGACTAAATATTCTAAATAATAAATAATTCTGTCCCTTCTGAGCATAAAATTATTTTACTTAATGCTCTTGTTGCCAATTTGGACATGTTTGCACCTATTAAAACACGCAATGTCTCTTTGGTACATACAGCTCCCTGGTATAATGACAATTTGCGTTCAAAGAAGGTTTAATGTCACAAACTGGAGCGTAAATGGCATGGTTCGGGGCTTGTCAGTTTTTTATCAAGCTTGGAAAACCTGTTTGAGCCAATATAAAGCAGAAATTGACACTGCATGGTCTTCATATTTTTCTCAGATTATTGACAATAATCATAATAACCCTAGGCAGCTTTTTCACATTACTAACAGTCTATTGAAATTAGATGGTGCGAATACTCTGTGTCAATTCAGACATGCAATGATTTTCTTAAATTCTTCGGTTTAAAAATTGATAACGTTCGCAAATATATTCTTATTCTAATCTACCAAGTTTTTCTGGTACACCCTTCTCTAATTTGTCTTTAGTCACCTCTGAGTCTCTTTGTGCACAGGTATCTCGTATGAAAGCTTCCACTTGCATACTTGATCCCCTGCTTCTAGTTTATTTAAATCCTGTTTTGGTTACTTGTGCCCTGTTGTTCTTACAATAATAAATGGCTCCTTGGCCACCAGTGTTGTGCCAACAGCACTTAAAACTGCTGCTGTCACTCCCATATTAAAAAAGCAAAATAGTGATTCGAACAATCTCAGTAACTTTCGTCCAATTTTTCATCTTCCACACTGTAACACACAACCCTAATATACAAAACTGATAAGAAAAAACTAAGAAGAAACATAGTTATTTCAACAAAAAAACGCAGGGAATTCTGGGAATGGTTATTCACTGTAAATTATACGGTCTTTTTCACTTCCAAAAACGGTATACTACCGTGAAATTACATGTAATGTCCAATACAGTTTATCACCGTATATAGTAGGGGAATTTACCGTTAAATATTTGACAGGTTTTTACTGTAGCATTTTTACAGTCTTTTACCGTTAAATTCACGGTCATTTTTTACAGTGCATTTATTGCTAAAATTTTAGAGGGTGTTGTTTCATCTCAATTACACAACCATTTAAAAGTCAATAATCTGTTTGAGCCCCTTCAATCTGGGTTTAGGAAACTGAACAGCACTGAAACAGCCTTGGTTAAAGTTGTTAATGACTTACTGTTAGCTTCTGATTCTGGCGCTCTCTCGATTCTCATCTTACTCTATCTTAGTTCAGCCTTCGACACTGTTGACCACATGCTTTTACTTAATCGACTGGAAACTGTCTTTGGTTTATCTGGGACTGTCCTAGATTGGTTTAGGTCATATATTATGGGTTGCAGTCAATTTGTTTTTATGGATGGTTTCAGATCTGATGTGGATCCTGTTTGTACTGGGGTCCCACAGGGCTCAGTTCTTGGTCCCCTACTTATTAGCATTTATATTTATCCTCTTGGTCAGCTATTAAGCTACCAGCTACCACTTCTAACTCAGATTTATATACATTCTCAACCTGGTCAATTTGTGGATGTCCCTCATCTTTCCAACTGTATTTCTGAGATTAAGTTGTGGATGTCTAAAAATTTTCTGTGTCTGAATAGCTCTAAAACTGAAGTTATGCTTCTTGGCTCTCCCCACCAATTGCGAAATGCTGCTTCTAGATCTATCAGTTGATGGTGTTGCCCTAGAGCTACAAAGTAAACTAAACATCTTGGTGTTATCTTTGACGTCACCCTGTCATTCCAGCCTTTGTTGAAGATTTTAATTAATCAAAATATAAATTATTGAAGTATAATCTTAATCTGAAGAATAAAGTTCTGGCATCGGTATGCCAAAATGAATGAAATGTATTGAACACGCCTAGAGAAAGAACAGTATATAAGAGAGTACAGAAAAAGAGTCTGGAGATTGCTCTACAGAGTTTTTCTCGGCTTTATTTAATCTGAAGAATAAAGTCTATCTTCTGGCATCAAAACCTCATGACTTGAAGAATGATTCCTTACAGCATCGGCAGAAGCCACCACACCTTTTGTACAGAACAAGGTAAAGACCTCCTTTTTTCATCTTAAAAATATTGCACATATTCAGCCTATGTTGCTGAAAAATGTATTCATTCTTTTTTTCTCACAAATTGATTATTGCAATGCTCTCCTTGTTGGAGTGTCCAAATCCTCTCTTAACAAATTGCAATACTTGCAGAATTCAGTAGCTAGATTTTTAACTGGGGCTAGGGCTGGCGACCATATAACTCCTGTTTTGAAGACATTACACTGGCTCCCTGTTAAATACCGTATAGATTTTAAAATCCTAATGCTAATATACAAGGCTTTGTATTGTCTCGCTCCACAGTATCTGGCAGATCTTTTAACACCTTATACGCCAATTCGCAATTTATGATCTTCTCAGCACGGTCTCTTAGTTGTTCCCAAAACACAGCTGAATTTATAGTATATTGTCTTATATTGTTGTGTTTTCCTTTATGTAAGCTTTCATGTAAAGCGCCTTGAGAAAGCAACTTTTAAAGGCGCTATATAAAATAAATATATTATTATTACATTTAAAATGCATTAACAAATGTAATTTTGGACAACACACTTCAGTTAAAATAAAAATAAATTGTTTTACATGTGCTTTAGTATATTGGTAAACGCTGGCTACCTGGGTATTGAAGTTTAGAAGAAAAATGCATTTCAAGTGCATTAATGCACACAGTATATAATATAGACTAAATACATTTACAATACATTAACAAATGTAATTTTGGACAACACGCTTAAGTTGAAATTAAAATCAAATATTTTACATGTGCTATAGTATATTGGTAAATATATCAAAATAAGTGTACTTATTTAAAACACTATAAAATCATAATTATGTAAAATATGTTTATTTTTAAATAAATAAAACTTAATTACACATTATTATAAAGTGATTTTTTTTTTTAAAGTGCACTAAAGTGTGTTAAGAAATATTGTCATTAAAGTGTACTCTCTTTAAGTACACTTAATTGGCCTTTAAATATATTAGATTATATTATCTGCAAGTGCACTTTTTAAAAAGTATACTTTTAAGATTCGAAGTACACAAAAAGTACACTTTCAATACAATTAAGCGCACTTCTTTTTCACAAGGGCATACTTTATGAATAAAGTTTAACTTAATAACCATAACTTATTGTAATCATAGTTTTATTTACACTCACGAATCTACTACCATGAATTAGATTTGAAATTTGCACACCATAGACGTTCCCTGCTAATCTGCTTTGCAGCAAACAACATCGATACACACAAAAAGGACTAGTGTAAAGTCGCTACCTGTCGAGAAAACTAAATATTGATGAAAGTAAAGGTGCAAAGTGAACAAAACGATTTTTATCAACCAAAATGTTTATTATCCAAAACACCAAAGTGTTAGTGGGCTGATATAGCAGTAGTAGATCCCTGAATCAGCAGATGTAAGGTTATTGAGTTTCAGTGTGAAGTTGCCATTCACATACTGGTCCGGAAACATTTCAGCTCTGTTCTTGTAGGCTTGGCTCTGTTTGGATGTCACTCCTTTGCCTTCAACTATGTCATATACAACAGGCTGTCATTGTGTCTCCAGTG